TCTGATAACTGAAGGCTCTACTTCCCATAGTACATTTAGAGACCATAGGTACCACAGCAGGCCTAATAACTGAAGCTCTACCTCCCATAGTACATTTAGAGACTGTAGGTACCACTAGCAGGCCTGATAACTGAAGGCTCTACTCCCATACTACATTCAGAGACTGTACCACGAGCAGGCCTGATAACTGAAGGCTCTACCTCCCATAGTACATTTAGAGACTGTAGGTACACGAGCAGGCCTGATAACTGAAGGCTCTACCTCCCATAGTACATTTAGAGACTGTAGTACCACTAGCAGGTCTGATAACTGAAGGCTCTACCTCCCATAGACATTTAGAGCCTGCAGGTACCACGAGCAGGCCTGAATAACTGAAGGCTCTACCTCCCATATACATTTAGAGACTGTAGGTACCACTAGCAGGCCTGATAACTGAAGGCTCTACTCCCATAGTACATTTAGAGACCTAGGTACCACAGCAGGCCTGATAACTGAAGGTCTACCTCCCATAGTACATTTAGAGACTGTAGGTACCACTAGCAGGCCTGATAACTGAAGGCTCTATCTCCCATACTACATTCAGAGACTGTACCACGAGCAGGCCTGATAACTGAAGGCTCTACCTCCCATAGTACATTTAGAGACTGTAGGTACCACGAGCAGGCCTGATAACTGAAGGCTCTACCTCCCATAGTACATTTAGAGACTGTAGGTACCACTAGCAGGTCTGATAACTGAAGGCTCTACCTCCCATAGTACATTTAGAGCCTGCAGGTACCACGAGCAGGCCTAATAACTGAAGGCTCTACCTCCCATATTACATTTAGAGACTGTAGGTACCACTAGCAGGTCTAATAACTGAAGGCTCTACTTCCCATAGTACATGTAGAGACCATAGGTACCACAAGCAGGCCTAATAACTGAAGGCTCTACCTCCCATAGAACATTTAGAGACTGTACCACGAGCAGGTCTGAGTATAGTATAAAGTGTCAGCAGCAGTGAGTAGCCCTCAGTGATGTTTTGATTTGTTTGTGTTCTTCAGATCTCCTCGATGGAGAAGAACCTGAAGAGCATCGAGCACGAGAACAAGATGATCGAGGAGCAGAACGAGGCTCTGTTCATGGAGCTGTCGGGTCTGAGCCGCGCCCTGATCCGCAGCCTGGCCAACATCCGCCTGCCACACATGGTGAGTAGTACACACACACACACACACACACACACACACACACACACACACACACACACACACACACACACCACACACACACACACACACACACACACAGCTCTCTCATTGATTTCTTGTATTTGGAGGTGAACAGCCGCTCCCGTCCACACTCCTCTCAGTTGGTATTGGTTGTTGTTTGTTCTCAGCAGGAGCCAATCACAGAGCAGAACTTCGACCGCTACGTGAGCACGCTGACCAACATGTACACCAACAAGGACTGCATCCAGAGCCCGGAGAACAAGGCTCTGCTGGAGAGCATCAACAAGGCTGTGAAGGGCATCAAAGTCTGACGTGCTGCACACACACACATGCAAACACACACACACACACACACTCACTCACACACACACACACACACACACACACACCACACACACACACAACACACACACACACACACACACACACACACACACACACGGGGGAGAAGGCTCACTGTCCTGAAGCGCCGCAGCGTGAGCGGAGTGGAGGAGAGATGTTGAAATACTCGACAATGTTTTGAAATATGATTCAAAAACAAAAAAGGGAATTCAGGTTATTTAAATAAACGGCAACTTTAAAGAAATCATCCCAGGGAGAACGGACCAAAACACTCGCCATGACGTGGAGGGCGAGGAGGAGGAGGAGGAGGAGGGCGAGGAGGAGACGAGGAGGAGGAGCAGGAGACGAGGAGGAGACGAGGAGACGAGGAGGAGAGGAGTAGGAGACGAGGAGGGGACGAGGAGGAGACGAGGAGGAAGCATCCTGCAGAATAAACAGAGCAGAAGAAGAAAAAGGATGTAAACTGCTGTGTGTTTATCGTCTCTTTGTGTCCTGAACTGTTTGTGGAGAAACCTGGAGGAGCGCTGACACTCGGCGTGATGAAGACGAGGACACACACCTCTCTACTTCATCACCACACACACACACAGTTTGGTGTGTGTGTGTGGTGTTCCTGCAGCACAGATGTCAACAGAGAGATGTTGACAGTGTTGAAAGAGACGATCCAGGATCAGTGTTTATTTCTATGATGATTGAAAATAATAAGCCCCGCCCCCTGCTCTTTGATGTTTTGACTGACATGATGCTAGTGGTAGTGTGAAGCGTTTCCGTTAGTCATATGGATAGTATTTATGGACGTAGGCCTTGCACTTGATTTGATGATTGTTATATATGAATTATTTAAACATGTGAACTTTTAAATTATGACGTTTATTTATTTGAATCTATTTATTCTGTTTGTTTTTGAAACACACGGTCGGCGTGTGGCGCCCTGCAGACGTTCATATCTGCAGAATGATATGAAGACATTTTGTTTTTTTACAAACCTTTTTCATTACAGATGTTTTATAACGGAGAGAATCTTTTGATAATATGACCAACCACTTCTTCTGGGTTGTTTTTCTTTGTTGCAGTCGGACGTGGCGCCGAGAAGAGAAATGTATTTATTATTTATTGAATATGAAGAGATGGCGTGATACCACTGTCTATTTATTTTGTTATTTATGTGAGTAGTCCTGAAGATCCACTGCTAATAAAGAAACCAACCAACACACACATGTTTGATTCCTGTAGGCCAGGAGACCAATCAGCAGCTGAGCACACAGGAAGTGAGCGAGCGAGCTGCTCTCTCTCTCTCTTTGTCACAAACTCAACACAAACACTTCTACGTTACCTCTCCCGAGCGCTTTGTAGCGGCCAGCTCTGGCTCTCACACACACACACACACACACACACACACACACACACACACACACACACAGAGACAGACACACACACACATACAGAAACACACACAGAAACTCACACACACTCACACAGAGACACACACACACACACACACACACACACACACACACACACACACACCCTTGTAGCCTTACTCTAGATTTTAATTTTTTGATGCACAAAGTGCCACAAAAAGAAAAACGAGAGCTCACTTTCTTTCCTGATTCTTCTTCGCATTTCCTCGATGTACCAGCGTCTGGTCCCGGAGCGGCCACGGCGCCTCGGGGTGCTGATTGTTTCAGATGCCTTTATTTCTCCGCCAAGATGGCCGTTAGTACACGCTCTATACATTCTGTATAAATAGATTTTAAAGATGCTATATATAAGAATATAAACATACCTATATTTTTGCAGTGTAATGGTTTTCTGGTTGTGGTCAGAGAGGCCGTTACACCTGAGTCCACAAAGACCTGAACTGTGGCTTTAAACACGCTGATGAAACAGTCCCAGTGTTGTCATGGTTACTTTCTCTTTGATTTCTTTGTCTGTCTTTGACCCTCAAACATCTGCTGTTTGTTGTTCTGAAACTAGCTGGTTGTCATGTGACTTCATGTACAGTGAAAAAGAAGAATGAAAAATGTTCTGCACACCAGCTGCGTTTCCATTGCAGGAACTTTCTCCGGGGGGGGGGGACTTTAGGAGGTGTGTTTCCACTGCAGGAACTTTCTCCAGGGGGGGGAGGACTTTAGGAGGAGTGAGGAGCAGGGAGGGCTTTATTTGACCCCCAGAAGGTTTCTGTCACGTGGATCTATGAGGGGGGGGGGGGATTTCGAATTAATCAAACATTCAGAGGAACCTGGAGGAACCTTAAATCCTTGAAAGTACTTCCTGGGATTTAAAGTCTGGGGTACTTTAGGTGGAAACGTGGCTTTAGTGTGTGTGTGCAGGTATTGTGTTGTTTCTGGAGGCCTGCTCGCTCTGTGATGTTCAAAGCATCCAGTAGGGGGCGCTAGTGTAACCTGCTGCTGTGCTGTACAGTGTGTAACTCTGATGTCAAAGGCATGTCGTTCATGTGCTTTTAGCCAACGTAGAATGAAACTCCTTTGTGCACTTTCTGATTAACTGTTGAAAATGCCAGCATTTGAGTCTCAACTTGTAAGAACCCCAACGAGCAATAGCGAAGACTCACCCCCCTGCAGGGGGAGGGGGGTGGGGGGGAGGGGGCGTCTCACCTGATTTTAGGGAAACATGTTGGATGGAGGCGTCTCTTTGATTCAGGGGTTTTCAAAATGTTATTTTCCAAACAAAAACCAAAAGAGATTGACAGAGAGCAGAGTTTGGTTCTCAGGTGAACGGGGTGGGGGGGCAGCTGAGGCTGGAGGCGCTGGCAGCGGCTGCATCGAGGCCTCCTGTGGAATGAGATGAGTGTGTGGGAGGGAGGAAATTGATTTGCTGGATACACGATCTCCCCCTTGTTTCAGGAGGAGGCGTTTGTTGCATAAATAAACGCCCCTCACCCCCCCCCCCCCACCCCACCCCGTTCACCCCGTTCAGTTTGGATGCATTTGCTTCACAAAGTAGCGTTTCCCTCCTGTGTTAAAATGCACGAGAACGGGAGCCGAGTGTCAGGACGGTGAATATTCTAACAGAGTTGATTTGATGAAACACAGCGAGGCCATAAAAGACGAGCGCTCGCACTAAATGTCAGCTAAGAGAGCACATGCAGCCTTCGCTTGTGAGCTCGCCTACGCTCTCTCTCTCTCTCTGAGTGATGGAGGATTATCTTCTCAATAACAAACTGATCAGACCCCGCTCTCCCTGCAGCTCCACCATCAACTCACATGAACTCTTTCAGGGAAACGAAATTTGATATCTGAAGACGTTGAGGGTTTCCTGCCTTTCACGAGATCTCGATCACTTAGCGTTTACCTCAGGATGACAAAACGCTGGTTTCCTTGTGATCACGTGTAAACGTTCTGACAGGACACCATGGCGTGCTGACATCGTGAGATAACCAGATAACGAGTCCAAGGCGGTCAAACATAAAAACATTTGATTTAAATCAAATTACGGTTTCTCCTCGAGATCGCTGCATATTTCTCTCGTTATCTCTTCGCTGCACGGTTTTCCCTTCAACGACTTTTTAGACGTTTTTTTGAGAAACTTTGTTGTTGTCACGTTGAAACCAGCGCTGCCACTCCGACAAAGAATAAAGCGTATGATTTGTCAGACTCTTTACGGCCCCTGCTGGCCGTGGAGAGAATGCAGGCTTCAGAAACTCGTCTTCTGAACGCTCGTTGGTCAAGTAAAAAGGGAGAGCTGCGTTTGAGTGCCACTTTTCATCAAGCTGAACAAAACCAAAAGACACCCCCCCCCTGCCCTGCCCCGCCCTTCCTGGCCCCGCCCCCTCCCCCTGCTGTAGTTAAATCTGTGTGGTCTTATCATGTGTGCCTTTCTCACTCCACACATTTCAACTCGTATGTTTACACTCTGCAGCTTCAAACTCTGCTGGTCTGATCTCTGAACCGATACTTTCTTGAGGAGGATGGGGGGGTATATAAAGGGAGCATGGGGGGGGTATATAAAGGGAGGGTGGAGGGGTATATAAAGGGAGGATGGGGGGGCTTCAACGTGTATAGAGAGAGAACATCAATGTGTCTTTTATCTGCAGATCGAGAGACGGAGACGCAACACAAACTAACTGTGATCTCATTCAGGTACCGGACTGCACGGCGGCGTGTTGGGTCGTGGTCGTTCTCGTCTTAGATAACGCGTCCGTGTGCAGGGCATTCTTTTCACACCACTCGAGGTCTCTGTACATATTTGTATTCAGAACAAACAGTGTTAATATTGTTGTTGTATTGTAAGTTAAAAATGGTTTAAAAATGTGACAAATAAAAAAAAGCGTGCACAGCCAAGGGTTGTCCTGCTCGCTCGTTTTTACACAGATGATATTTTTACTGCTGGTTTTCTAGACGTTGATATTAAAAACCTTCCAGAATAATAACAAGCACTTCTTCCACAAGCGTAGACTGTGAGGTGGTTTTTGTTACTTTTGTAGGCGTGGTCATTCCTTTGCTACTGCTCCGTTTTGTAAAGTGGGACAGGCCTTGGCTGTGCGTCCTCGGGGGGCTCATGTTGGTTTTCTTTTGTGGGGGGGAGTGAAACTCTGTAGGTGTGTGTTTGTGTACTCGTGCCCCCTGTTCCTGTGTCCGTGTTCTAAAGCAGAGAATTGATGTCAGTTATTGTGGGGCTAACGTTTTAAATGTTCTCTATGAAAAACACCAATAAAGAATCAAGACAAGAACGACTCAGACCCTCACTCAGAGAGAGAGAGAGAGAGGGGGGGAGAGAGAGAGAAAGTGAGAGAGAGAGAGAGAGGAGAGAGAGAGGGAGAGAGAGAGAGTGTGTGTGTAAGAGGGAGAGAGGAGAGAGGGGGAGGGGAGAGAGAGGAGAGAGAGAGAGTGTGTGTGTGTGTGTGTGTGTGTGTGTGTGTGTGTGTGTGTGTGTGTGTGTGTGTGTGAGAGAGAGAGAGAGAGAGAGTGTGTGTGTGTGAGAGAGAGAGAGAGATGGTGCTCTTATCTCCTAACAGGAAGGACTACAACAGCACCTGGATCTCCTGCACAGTTTCTCTCAGACCCTGACAGTCAATCTATCGAAGACTAAAATCATCAAACAGCCTCCAACACCACACGTTGAGATTCTTTCTAGATACTGTTGAAATTGAACACACAAAGAACTGCACTTACCTGGGCCTTAACATCAGCACCACAGGTAAGTGTAAGAGCGCTGTCAACGACCTGAAAGACAAGGTCAGAAGGAACGCCATCAGAAGGAACATCAAATTACACATCCCTATTCAAATCTGGCTTCAAATTCTGGACTCTGTTATAGAACCCATTTCTCTGTATGGTTGTGAGATTTCTCTTTTTGGGATTTTTCTAAATGGGACAAACATCAAATTGAGACTCTGCATGCAGAATTCTGTAAATCCATCCTCCGTGTCCAACGGAAAACCCCAAATAATGCATGAAGAGCAGAATCAGGACGATACCCTTTAATCATCAAAATTCAAAGGAGAGCTTTTACATTTTATAACTATTTAAAAGAAAGTGACCCTGACACGCTCCATTACTAAGCCCTGACCTCCAGAGAGTCCTCAGAGAGCTGCCCCCTCAGACACCTGGTTCGGGGACTCTAACCTCTAGAGAGTCCTCAGAGAGCTGCCCCCTCAGACACCTGGTTCTGGGACTGGACTCCCAAGCAGAGCCCTCAGACAGAAACCCAATCAGAATCAACCAAATTATTCAAAAACAAAAAGAAAACGATTTAACACATTGGACAGAATGAGAATGTTATCTGGCTCTAAATAGAGATTACACAGTGGCAGAATATCTGAGCACTGTGACGATCCAAAGCTTAGGAAATCTTTGACCACGTACAGACTCAGTGAACACGGCCTCGCCATCTAGAGAGGACGCCACTGATAGACCTGGCTCCCCAAAGAGGACAGACCCACTGCACCCAGCATGAGGTGGAGACAGAGCTCTGTCCTCTGTAACAGGACATCAGATACATCACAAACACACAAAAAGGATTTCACTTATTGGACAACGAGCACAAACTGGTATACCTGCTGGGTGAGGTACAACAATGTGCAAACACTGCAGCACGTTATGTGACCTGCTGCGACCAGAAGAGAGCGTCCAACAGCTCCAAACCCCCGTGAACAAAACATCTGTAAATAACTGTACACACACACACACACAACAGAGCTGTACATATACACCACACAGAGCTGTACACACACACACACACCACAGAGCTGTACATATACACCATACAGAGTTGTACACACACACACACACACACACCACAGAGCTGTACACACACACACACACCACAGAGCTGTACATATACACACCACAGAGCTGTACATATACACACCACAGAGCTGTACATATACACACCACAGAGCTGTACATATACACACCACAGAGCTGTACACAGAGCTGTACATACACACACCACAGAGCTGTACACACACACACCACAGAGTTGTACATATACACACCACAGAGCTGTACACACACACACACCCACATAGCTGTACATATATACACCACAGAGCTGTACATATACACACCACAGAGCTGTACATATACACACCACAGAGCTGTACACACACACACACACACCACAGAGCTGTACATATACACATCACAGAGCTGTACATATACACACCACAGAGCTGTACATATACACATCACAGAGCTGTACATACACACACCACAGAGCTGTACACACACACACCACAGAGCTGTACATATACACACCACAGAGCTGTACACAGAGCTGTACATACACACACCACAGAGCTGTACATATACACACCACAGAGTTGTACACACACACACACCACAGAGCTGTACATATACACACCACAGAGCTGTACACACACACACACACACACACACACACACACCACAGAGCTGTACACACACACACACACACACCACAGAGCTGTACATATACACACCACAGAGCTGTATATATACACACCACAGAGCTGTACATATACACACCACAGAGCTGTACACACACACACCACAGAGCTGTACATATACACACCATGCAGAGGTCAAACCCTGACCCAGGACAACAGAACATAAAGCATGCTTCAGAGTGAGGCCACATTTATTTGGATGGTTTCATGTGTGAGAAACTGCCGACTGTGCAAAGGTAGTTCTCCTCACAGGTAATATACAGTGCCCCCCCACAGACCCAGCTTTCTAAAGGGACTAAGAGGGGGAGGAGCCACGCCATGCAGGATCTGTTACACACATCACACACACTCCTGAGTGGAGAACAAAATGGGGGCCTCTGGGTTGTAAACATGTGGATCATATATAGATCAGTACTGACCTCTGGTGGACTCACAGAGAAACAACATGTTGAGTCAACAACAATGAGAACACACAGAGACGGGGAGGAAGTGATCATGACGGACAAACAAAGCAGAACCAAATCTTCAGAGACCATCTAGAATCAGAACCAACAGGTATGTTTACAGTCACATAACACAGCATGAGTCTGGTTCTGATCCAGGTTTCTGTCTGTTCATCATGAGTCTGGTTCTGATCCAGGTTTCTGCCTGATCATCATGAGTCTGGTTCTGCTGGTGGATTCATGTCTGGTCTTTATAAATAATAAAACAAAGAGTTTGGTTTGGACTGTCTGTACTTAAAGGGATACTTCACCCGCTGAAACATGAATCTGTATTGACATTGGGTCATATATGTAGTAGAAATGTGAAATACATTTTGAAGTTGGTGCCTTCTTGGCCGTGAAAAGGCAGAAAGTTTATTTTTGAATCATGTGGATGAAAGATACCAAATCCCAGAATGCACAGCACCGCAGGCCACTCCCACTAAGGTCCTCTAGTTCAGAATCAGAAATACTTTATTAATACCAGAGGGAAATTCGATCATTACAGTTTCTCCAAAATATACAATATAGCAGTAGAAATATAGTAATAAAAACATTTACAGACATATTTATTTCAACACATAAGACCGTTTTCTCAACTGATTCAGAGATTTCTTCCAGAATTGATCTTGGAAATTCCTGGCAGAGAACAGACTCTATGTCTGAGTCCATAGGCAAACAGTGAGAGCACCGACACTATCAGTCCGCCCCAGCTCAATCCGACCCCGGCTCCTCGTCCTCACCGCCGCCGACAGGCAGGCATCATGTCTCATGGCGGCAGCAATATAGCAATATAGCCGCGAGACGGCGGCCAGCTAGCCCGGCCAGCGCCAGCGGCCCGGCGGCCGCAGCAGCCAAAACACAAGACCAGCCTGTCGGCAGCAGCCGGCTTGCCGCTATATTTATTTTTACGCCATTATCAGCTTTCTCCATTGAGCCTGTTAGCATAGCTTCCAAGCAATATGGCGGACATTAAGTTTTGATTCTGGGAGTGAGTTCCCACCCACTGATCTGTGATTGGTCTGTAGCTTCTGTGGTCGAAAATATGAGGAACTAGCCTTGTAGTTTCACCCTGCTAACCACAACAGCTTCCAGTGACACTAAAATCGTAATTTTGCGTCACTGGAAGCTCCTTTTCAGACTTAGAAATACAAAGATTTCCCATCTCAGGGGAAAATGAGGGCGGGATGCACGACCATTCAAAAATACTACCAGGTTTCTAATGATACAAAGATTAATGCAAATGAGTGAAGTATAACTTTTAAGTGTCTGCAGATTGGCGCTGTACAAATACAGATATTGATTTATTGATTGACTGATTGATTGATTGGTTCATTAAATTGACTGGTTGATTGATTTACTGATTGATTGGACGTCATGTGATTCCTGGAGGCGGAAACTGAAGAAGCTGAATGGAACTGATTCCTGATTATATTTACACCTGTGACGTAGGCCTACCTGCAGTGACGTGGTGAATACACCTTGTGTGTTTGCAGCTGACCCACTGACCCGGAGAGGATCAACACAAACCTGCAGATTATTCAATTAAACCTGAGCAGGATCAAACTCTGCGTGCTGATTGGCTGGCTCACGTGGTAGAATAAGTCTCATACGTCACTCAGGGTCTGTAGTTCAGGTTTTCATTCACCTGTTCATGTGTTCAGATATGCGCACGGCTCTGAAGCTGCAGCTCTCCGTGCTGGATGTAGGCCATCCTCCTCCCTCTGCCTTTACGTACTGTGCGTGATGACGTCAGAGCGTCAGCTGGCTGAATGTTTACATCCAGCAGTGGTGTGTTCCTGGCTGGACCCCCCGACAACAAACCGCTGAGCAGGAGAATCCCGCCGGGACAGAGAGCACCTGTCGGACTTTTCAGCAGGTAAGAGCGGTGTGTGTGCGTGTGTGTGTGTGTGTGTGGTGTGTGTGTGTGTGTGTGTGTGTGTGTGTGGGGGGGGGGGGTCAGCTGTTGTCTCGATATTTCTCCTCGTGCAGCGGGGATCGGACTGCGGGTGTGTGTGCCTGTGTGTCAGTCTGGTCAGTGTGTGTTCAGTGTGTGTGTGTTCGTGTTAGAGTTCAGTATGTTTGTGTGTGTCCGTGTTTGGAGCAGCTGATTGGCGCTAATCTGACCGCAGAACTTGCGGACTCCTGTGTGTGTGTGTGTGTGTGTGCGTGCGTGCGTGCGCGCGTGTGTGTGTGTGTGTGCTTGGAGGGGGAAGTGTGTGTGTGTGTGTGTGTGTGTGTGTGTGTGTGTGTGTGTACGTGTGAGTTTGTGTGTTGTAAAACACAGGACGGCTGAAACAGAGCTGTCTGTGCAGGAAGTGTGTGTGTACCCTAGTAGCCTACTAAACCAGTTAGTGTGTCACAGAGCAGGTCACAGCGCCCCCTCTGCTCATGTCTGCTAACTGCACTACAAACACTTTATAATCACATCATGTGACTGTGACTCTGTGCTGTGATAGGACGAGCTGAGTGTGTTCTCACTGCTGCTTCACAACCTGATGATGACAGTGCTCAACATCTGTCCTCCTCCTCCTCCCCCTCCTCCTCTGATCTCCTCTTCTGATCTCCTCCTCCTCTTCCTCCTCTGATCTCCTCTTCTGATCTCCTCCTCCTCTTCCTGCTCCTCCTCTTCCTCCTCTGATCTCCTCTTCTGATCTCCTCCTCCTCTTCCTCCTCTGATCTCCTCTTCTGATCTCCTCCTCCTCTTCCTGCTCCTCCTCTTCCTCCTCTGATCTCCTCTTCTGATCTCCTCCTCCTCCTCCTCCTCTGATCTTCCTCTTTTGATCTCCTCCTCCTCTCCCTCCTCTGATCTCCTCTTTTGATCTCCTCCTCCTCTCCCTCCTCTGATCTCCTCTTCTGACCTCCTCCTCCTCTTCCTCCTCCTCTTCCTCCTCCTCCTCCTCTTCCTCCTCCGAAGTCTGAAGGAGGTCATGTTGATGCATCATGTTTTTCTTCCTGATGAATCAAACTGTCTGTCCTCTGGTTCTTCTGTCCGGCACATGATGGTTGTTGTCATGGTAACACGTGTGACAGTGACTTCCTGTTCCTCTGCAGTCATCATGGGCGGAGCTGTGAGTGCAGGTGAAGACAATGACGACCTGATCGACAACCTGAAGGAGGCGTACTACATCCGCTCTGACCTGGTGGAGCGCGCCTTCAGAGCCATCGACCGCGCCGACTATTACCTGGACGAGTACCGAGACAACGCCTACAAGGTGAGACACACACACACACACACACACTCTGAGCGCCTCCGTCTGTATGATGAGCCAGGTGAGTAGGTAAGCTCCTCCTCCTCATGTTGTTGTTTAGGACCTCGCATGGCGGCACGGGAACATCCACCTGTCGGCTCCGTGTATCTACTCTGAGGTGATGGAGGCTCTGGATCTCCATCCTGGACTCTCCTTCCTCAACCTGGGCAGCGGGACGGGATACCTGAGCACCATGGTGGGCCTCATACTGGGTATGTATTAACCATCACCATGGTTACTGATGATGTTTCACTGTGCAGAAGTTTGCCTGCTTCTTGTTGTTGCCATGGTTTCACACAGGTGTTGGTATTGGTTGATGTTATCATTCTATCAAAGTTTTACATGTTGTCATGACGACCGTAATTTACTATCACTACAGCTGTGTGGTGATACTTGACGCGTGTGTGTGTTGACTGTTTCAGGCCCGTTTGGTGTGAATCATGGAATCGAGCTTCATGCAGATGTGATCGAGTATGCCTACCAGAAGCTCGACTCCTTCATCAAAACCAGCGACAGCTTTGACAAGTAGGTGACCTCACCTGTCAGAGACATTGTGTGTGTGTGTGTGTGTGTGTGTGTGTGTGTGTGTGTGTGTGTGTGTGTGTTAAACATGTCTGTCTGCAGGTTCGAGTTCTGTGAGCCGTCCTTCGTGGTTGGAAACTGTCTGGAGATCCCCGCAGAGAGTCGGCAGTACGAGCGGGTGTACTGCGGGGCAGGAGTGCAGAAGGAGCACGAGGAGTACATGAAGAACCTGCTGAAGCTGGGGGGCATCCTGGTCATGCCTCTGGAGGAGAAGGTCTGTGCTTTAAGAGGACCCCATGTTAAACTCTAATGATGGGGGGGGGTGACGTCATGTAACTGCTTCCTGTTTTTCTTTTCAGTTGACAAAGATCACCCGAACAGGCCTGAACAGCTGGGAGACCAAAAAGATCATCTCTGTGTCCTTCGCTCCCCTCGTCCTGCCCAAACACAGCACCAACGGGAAACCCCGGAGCGCCCCGCTGCGTGAGTCCACCTCTGACCTCTGATTGGATAATGTCTTTAGTGTCTGATTCTGTCTGACGTCTTCATTCTGTCCTCATGATTCTAAACGCTGCAGCGAGGTTCGAGGTCCGGTCGCTACAGGAGCTGTCCCGTATCTGCATCCGTCACACCCTCAGAGTGACCACAGACGGAGGAGACAGCCAATCACGTGGCAGAGGCTCCTCCTTCAGCGTGGGGAGGGGTCTGGCGGTGGCCGGCCTCCATAAGTACGGCCCTCGCTTCAAACGCCGTCGTGTCCACCGGCGTCACTGTAATGCCCTTGTCCTCGCCACACGGCAGGTGGTGGCCAGCAGCGGGATAGGCCCCGCCCCTCTGGACAGCAACAACAACCAGGGAGGAAGAGCAGAGGATGAGGAGGAGGTGGGGGAGAGGGAGAGGGAGAGGGAGGGGGAGGGGAGGCGGCAGCTGAGAGGGAGCAGGAGGGGGGGCAGGGGAGTCGGAGCGGTGGTGGAGGAGGAGGAGACGGTGGAGGAGGAGGAGGAAGAGGAGGAGCAGGAGGAGGAGGAAGAAGAAGAGAAGGAGACAGGGGAGCTGCTCCGCCCCCAGCCGGCCGTGAACCTCCTCAGAGAGAGGATCCTGAACCTGCCGCTGCCCGAGCCGCTCAAGATGTACCTGCTGTACTACAGAGAGAAGTAAGCCCCGCCCCCAAGAGCCACAGCCAGGTGTGAATAAGAGTCAGAGCTTCACCTCCCAAACCTGGACTACTACCCTCCACCTGACTGAACCCCAAATCTCTTTATCTGTTTTCATCCTCTTCATCATCTTTTCTGGACTAAATTCATTACCTGGCACGGTTGGGGGGAGGGTTGGGGAGGGTTGGGGAGGGTTAGGGAGGGGAGGGGAGGGGAGGGAAGGGGAGGGAGACCACACAGACACCAAAAACCGCGTCCTAGCAACAACAGGCATCCAATCAGAGGTTTTCTCATACTGACACCAGGATCAGAAAGCACCAATCTGGGAGTTCCCCAGTCCAACATTCCCACAAAGGTCAAAGGTCAGGGACTGAATTAGCTGAAATGACACCTAGCAGACAACTAACATCTCCCACCTGTCACTCAAAGAAGCCACGCCCCCTAATTCTACATCCCGTTAAGCCTTAATATAATGTCAACAGGTGATTTGTATAAACATTCAGCCTGAACAGTTGAAGAGAAAAATTAACTCTAGAGACCCAAACTGTTTTTATACCAGGATGTAAACATGTTTATTTTAACATGGAGCTCTATGGGGACTGACTCACTGCAGGAGACAGACTCTAGTGGACACTGGAGGAACTGCAGCTGTAAAGTTGGACATTTTAACATGGAGCTCTATGGAGACTGACTCACTGCAGGAGACAGACTCTAGTGGACACTGAAAGAACTGCAGCTGTAAAGTTGGACATTTTAGCATGGAGCTCTATGGGGACTCTTGTATAGTTACATAAGGAGAATAGATTTCAGGGTCTTTATTTTGCACCCATAGCAAACAAAACCAATGAGCTGTCAGCAGAGAGTCTCTCAGTTTCCTGATCCAGACCTACAGGAACTTATTTTCTATCATTTAATACTTCATAAGTCGTGCTATCAGAGCCTAGTTCCTCCTGTAATGATTAAGTACTTTAAACCCCAGATACAGGAAGTCTGACTGAAGCTTCACTGAGGACACATCGACAGACATTAGAGGACGCGGTGTTGGTGAGAGCAGCACGAGGTGAAGAGCTCTCATGGCTCTTTTTTATTTCACCCTGAAAGTTAGACAAAGTTGTGAGCTGCTCTTTGATCTCCTGATGGAGGACAGAGAGGGGGGGTGGGGTTAGTTCATGTCTCTTTTTAGTTTACAGATGATCTTCATGTTTCTTTTAGGAGACCAGTCGTTGCATGGATGTTTCTCTGCACATATTCCCTCTCTACATCCCATAATATTCTCTTACCACAGAGAGTATGACCACGTACTAATATTCCAGTGACCAGGACTAAACCAGCATGATAACCACGTACATGATGTTCCTGATGACGGACCGTGTGCTTTGTGTTCTTGTGCTCTGAGTGTCGATTTGAATGACGTGTAAATATGTGTGTTTGTTAGTGAATCATGAAACTTTGATGAGTAGGAAACCTTCTCCTGTCGTCTTCTGATTGGCCGTTTCTTCCTTTCTGCTTTCGTACCAAACGTTCTGCTCCCTCGGTGCCAAACTTTGGTTGCATGGACTCAAAGAGAAAACAGCAAGTCACTCGTAGACGATATTTAAATTTAAAAAAGGAGCGACTCTTTAGATGGTGTGAGTCTCGTTTCAAAGATCTGAGCAGAATGGGAGGAGTCAGACTGCAGCAGTTTGGGATCATGAAGATCTTCATGTGGATTTTTGTGCACGGTGTGAGATGGATCTGTCTTCAGTTTCTTTATTGGACATGAAACGTTCTCGTCTCCTTCTGGCGCTCTGCTGAATGTAAACCATCACGTTGGGTTTTTTTTGCACTAAACTTAAAGTTTTGGTGAGAACGACTCGTTGGTTTTTAAGACTGAGCTGTTTTATTGACTGCTGTTAATAAAGTTCATTATACAAAAAACAGTCTGTGATGTCTCTGCCTTTACTCAGAGACAGGACAGAAGACGGAGGGGACTTGCCCGCCCACTTAGAGGTCTACTGCCTCTGTACATGGAACAATGCACTGACCACTAGGCCATCGGCACCCCAGTCTTTGATTAATAAGAATTTCAGCAGTGCAGTAAAGCTGAATCATGACCCTGATGAAGACCAGAGCAGAAAGAGGGGAGGGGTTAGGGCGGGGCTACCTTTGACAGATAAAAAACCAGGCCTGAGCGTAAATATGTGACTTAATAGTCTTTAATAATCCAAAGAAACTAAAGAGAGAAAGACAGAAGCTGCTTTACAAACGAGTCTCTGACCCCGTGATGTCACTGCCACACTGAAGAAGACATTCATATGAGCGATGAACACACATGGTGCTGAGCTGTTTCCAGCTTTAATGAAACAGTGAATGTGTAAATACTCGACTGTGACGTCAGCTGAGCGTCCTCTAACACCATATTCTCATACACAAGACACACAAACAATAAAATCTCAGCGTTAAATTACAAAGCTCCAAAAATAAAAAGATAATCTATGAAAGGAAAGAATAAAAATGTTTATCTACATCTGTTTGTAAAAATCAAAGAATGTAATAAGTTACTCGGGACACGAGCTCAGATTTAAACGTCTCCTGCTGACTGAACGATAACCTGGTGTCAGATTCTGCAGCTGTGTAGAGCACAGCTCCTGACATGACGGTTAGCATGCTAACATGACTGTTAGCAGCTAACAATGGCTCAGATGATGAGATAAGTTGAACGTGTGCACACTGTAACAAAGCAGCAGAGCGAAGGTTAAGGCACCGTGGAACCCTGATGAATCTGAGGCACGCTCAGGACGGGAACCTTGAAGTGAGCCAGGGTGCTGTTAGCACTGATATCTGGGCGTGTTGAGCTCTCCACCTCGTCTGCTCCAGGAAGAATTTACACGTGCTGGAGTCTGCAGAGAGCTGAACTCGCCGTCTGAGGTCGCCTATCATGCTAAGTCAAAGGAACACCTTTACATCTTGGGACACGCCCCTCAACATAAAGCCAGAGCAAGCAGGTGATTAGCTTAGCTTAGCATTAAGACTGGCTAGCAGTTAGCCTGTTTTTTTCCATCAGACTCTTTTACATATAGGAGGAAAGTTTCATGCTTGAAGTATTTGACGGTTACAGTGACGTCTTGTTATCCCGAGGTTGTCAGACAACCTGCAGAGACTGCTCTGATTGGCTAATCAACGTTAGCGTCATAGTAACAAAGCAGAGAAGAAGTGAGAGCAGACTTCCTCCTCAAACGCTGCAACAAAACTAATCAGCTTCTTTAAATGTTGAAATATTCTTGTAAAAAAAAAAAAAACCCAAAAGATTCACCAGAGCTCTGATGCAACACACACACACACACACACACACACACACACACACACACACACACACACACACACACACACACACACACCACACACACACACACACACACACACACACACACACACACACACACACACACACACACACACACACACACACACACACACACACACACACACACACACACACACTTACAGTAAGATAAAGGACTACAACACCCAGTACACACATGGACCTGTGAAGACAGGAAGAAGTAGTGCATTGTGGTCCTGCAGTTCATCATGGGGGGGTGTCACAGCCCACCTTTTGTTTTTCTCTGTACATTAAGAACATTGTGACAAACGTATGGATATATAAGACATCAGAGTCTGTGTGACGCTTCATGCAGAGAGAACAGTGTGTGCACACACTCACTCACTCACACATACACACAGGGCAGCAGCAGTCTGAATTAGTCTCTGTCCAGCTCAGACACAGCACCAGCTGTTCTCTCGCAGGTGAGTCCCAAAGTGGCAGGTGCACAGGAGAGGTCAGAGGTCACTTGGGCACCAGGCCGCGGGATTGTGGGTACATCGGGGATCCTGGACTGGAGGGGCTGAAGGGAGAGGTGGGGGTGCCCGACTTCTTTCCTGTCCGCGGTCGACTGAGAGACAGACAAAAGAGGAATGTGTTTAAATTCAGATTCTTTTTTCACATCAAGTCGACTTTAACGTCATTCTTTAAGAGAAATATCGAAGTCGAGCTCGTAACAAACAACAACAAACAACAACAAACGAGAACAAACAGACATGAGACCAACTGCATTGGGTCAGCTGACAGGAGGAGCACCAGGAGCGAGTTCAGTCTTACCCAGACTTTGGTTTTTTGAGGCTCCCGCTGGCGCTGGCGGGAGGCGTTGGTCCCAGGCTGCTGTGAAAGCCGGAGGCGTCCACCTGGATCTCGTCCTCGTCCCTGAGAGCGTCCTCCAAAGCTGCCGCCACCTTCGGAGCGATCACAGGCTCTTGGTACTCCTTAGTGGTCCGAGCCGGCAGGTCCATGTCCAGCATGATGATGTTCTCAGCCTGGGGGCGGGGCAGAACATGAACACATTAACAGATAGCGTGTGAGCGTGTTTCATGGCGGACATGTTTGATGTTCAGCTCACTTTGTATCTCATGTCAGGTCTCATCATCATGGCCACACGAGCGTGTTGACTGAGAGGCCTCCTCAATCCCATCGCAGACAGAGGCCGGCCCATCATCTGCTGGTCACTGCAAACACACAGACACACACAGTGACACACACACAGACACACACAGTGACACACACAGTGACACACACACACACACACACACACACACACACACACACACACACACACACACACACACACACACACACACACACACACACACACACACACACACACACCACACACACACACACACACACACACACACACACACACACACACACACACACACACACACACACACACACACACACACACACACACACACACACACACACACACACACACACACACACACACACACACACACACACACACACACACACACACACACACACACACACACACACACACACACACACACACACACACACACACACACACACACACACACACACACACACCATTATGGGAAGGTTTATCTCCTGTCTCCTATTGATCCGACTCTCAGTCCTGATCGCTCTCTTAGCAGACGCCTTGAAGCTCCGCCCTCATTAACACAGTGGAGGTTCAGGAGAGCACGCACGCACGCACGCACGCACGCACGCACGCACGCACGCACGCACGCACGCACGCACGCACGCACGCACGCACGCACGCACGCACGCACGCACGCACGCACGCACGCACGCACGCACGCACGCACGCGGATCAGGGATCAGCGTGATCCCGTCTCTCCTCTGTAGCGCCTCTGAAGACGGGACAGAGGAGGGGTCACTTCGTCCCCCCATAACAGCGTTGGGACATTCAGATTAACGGTAAAGCGTCACAATTTGCAATAATGTTGTGTCAAACAAACCAACAAACATGCGTTTGTGCATTATATACAAAATACAGTCTGCAGCGGGGTCAGAGGTCGGGGTCAGGGGTAAAGGTCAGAGGTCGGGGTGTGACTCACTCCTCCATACGAGTGATGGGCTTCGTCTTCCAGTACTCATCGTCATCATCAAGGAACGCTCTGTTCACGATTTTATTCTTCTCCTCCAGAGGGATGAAGTTCTCGATGATCAGATGTCTGAAAGAAAGACACACACACACACACACACACACACACACACACAGTCATATATAATATAATGAATAGTGTTTCCTGGCAGACAGACACACAGGCAGGCAGACAGACAGACAGACAGACACACACTTGAGTTTTAGGTCTCTGGTCAGCTCGTTCTGCGTCTGTTCCAGCTCCTGACGGTCATGGATGTGAAGCTCCTGGATGTCCTGGATCTCTGCCTTCACTGCCTGAAGCTTCGCAAACAGCTGGAAGAGAGAGAAGGAGTGAGGAGGAGGAGAGAGGAGGAGTGAGGAGGAGAGAGGAGGAGAGAGGAGAAGAGAGGAGGAGTGAGGAGAAGAGAGGAGGAGAGAGGAAGAGAGAGGAGAGAGGAGGAGTGAGGAGAGAGGAGGAGTGAGGAGGAGAGAAAAGAGGACGTTCATCATCATCATCATCGGGTCTTGTACAGTTTCATGGAACCAGCTGAGTTTCTTACCTGGTTTTAAATAGAAGCTGACCTACTTACTGACACGCTTTCATTAAACAGTCTCTGAGCTTCACTCAGAATCACACATTCAAACCTGATGTCTATTTTCATATACTCAGAATATATCAGAGAATAACAATCTGTGAACACGTACAGACACACAGATATATCATAACAGGTCTGCAGGAGGAGGAGGAAGAGGAGGAGGAGGAGGAAGTGGAGAGGGAGGAGGATGAGGAAGAGGAGATGGAGGAGGAAGAGGAGGAGAAAGAAGAGGAGGAGGAAGAGGAGGAGGAGGAAGTGGAGAGGGAGGAGGATGAGGAAGAGGAGATGGAGGAGGAAGAGGAGGAGAAAGAAGAGGAGGAGGAAGAGGAGGAGGAGGAAGTGGAGAGGGAGGAGGATGAGGAAGAGGAGAGGAGGAGGAAGAGGAGGAGGAGGAGGAGGAAGTGGAGAGGGAGGAGGATGAGGAAGAGGATATGGAGGAGGAAGAGGAGGAGAAAGAAGAGGAAGAGGAAGTGGAGAGGAGGATGAGGAAGAGGAGATGGAGGAGGAAGAGGAGGAGAAAGAAGAGGAGGAGGAAGAGGAGGAGGAGGAAGAGGAAGAGGAGGAGAAAGAAGAGGAAGAGGAGGAGGACAGTAAGGAGGTGCGGCTGTCACCTTTTTCAGCTTCTTGGTTTTGATGTCGACCTCCTGCTGCAGAGAGCTGTACGTCTCCTTCAGCTCCAGAGTCTCCTCATCACGACTCTCCACCTGCTGCTGCATCTCACGCTCTCGACGTTTCTGCACACACACGCACACATTACACATGACATCATCAGTGGTATTTTATAGAAAAAGCGTACAATCAGACAAACACATGGCCCAGATGATCCTGTAAGCTCATCATGACTGATTGATGGATGTTTCTTCCCCTCAGGGTCAGGGTCAAGGTCAGGGTCACATCATGCTGACCGTCTCTGCAGCACTGTGCTGAAAGTGTGGACATGTATCTGAAAAGAGAGATCAGCTGATTGTACCTGTTCAGCGATCTCATGCCTCTTCTGCTCCAGCATCCTCTGCTGCTCATTTGTGTGATCCACGATGTTCTTCCCTCCGACCAGCAGCTTACTCTCCATCGCCTGCACACAGATGACACATGAAACACTAGATCAGGTGCATGAACGTGAGACGTCCTGACAGAATCATCGCTCACCTTCACTTTGGCAGTGAGCATCTCTCCGGCCTCCTTCTCTTTCTGCACATCTTCCATCTTCTTCTCTTTCTCTTTCAGAAGTCGAACCTTCTCCTCGGCCACCAGACTGTGGTCCTCCATGATGGCCCTCCTCTCTCTCTCTAGCTTCTCCTGCTGCTCCCTCCAGTAGTCTCCTTTATCCTCCCCGTCTTCTTCATCGTCCTCTGTCTCTCCGTCTTCCAGATCCTCTCCATCGCTGCCCTCCCCGGCACCCCCCCTCCTCCTCCTCCTCCTCTTCTTCTTCCCAGATCGTTTCTGCAGCTGATCCTTCAGCCGGGCAATCTCCTCCTGGAACTCCCTGAGCAGAGCGTCTTTCGGGTCCTCGTTGATTCGAGGTTTATTCTTGATGTTCTTGGCTCTGTTGGAGTACCGCAGCGTCGTTAAGGTTTCCTCCACATTGTAAGAGGCGGGGCCGATGTTGGCCACCATGACGGTGCGGGCGTTTCCCCCCAGAGAGTCCTGCAGCAGACGTGTGAGTTTGGAGTCTCTGTAGGGGATGTGGCTGCTGCGTCCGTCCACCAGCGCTGAGATGACGTTTCCTAAAGCGGACAGAGACAGGTTGATCTTTGTGGCCTCTTTCAGCCTCTCTCCCGCCGCTCCCGTCTTAGTCTGCCGCTCACTCCCCGCTAAATCCACCAGGTTCAGTTTGCCCACCCTGATGTGGTTCTCGCCGTCCACGCCCAGCTCGCTGCACTCCACTGTTATGACGAAGATGGCGTGTGAGCGGGAGCTGTGCTCGTTCATGTTGGTGGCGCCCACTGATCGGTTCTGGTTGCCCACGTTCATGACGTGTTCGATCTCCCTCACGCTCTTTGTGACAAACGATGAGAGGTCTTTGACGTAGACGCCGGTGTCAGGCCGTTCCCTGAGCTCCAGACGACGTGATTGGTCCTTAGAGAGGAGGTCTTTGATCTCCTCCTGATAGATCTCCAGGTACGACGCTCTGACCAGGTACTGCTGATTTTGAGAGCGTGAGATGTGAGTGAAGATGTGTTCAAAGGAGTTAGGGATGACCCCCCTCCTCTCGGGGTCGTTCCTCACCCCCTCCATGGTGTAAGTCTTCCCTGTACCTGTCTGCCCGTATGCAAAGATGGTCCCATTGAACCCGAACAGGACCGATTCCACCAGCGGCCTGAAGGTCTCGTCGTACAGCTCGATCTGCTTGGAGTTCCAGTCATACACAGAATCAAAGGTGAACACTTTGGGGAGCTCGCTGGCCGATGCCTCTCGGGGGTTTCTCACCAGAATCTGGCCCAGTTTGACATCCACAGAGACCATCCTCTCAAACTTAGCCGCCCGCTCTTTTTCATTCATTGGGCGGCAGCGGACCACCACCTTCACCGTCTCGGAGCTCTTACTCTTGGACATGTTGCAGAGCAGAGGCCGGCCCACTCGGCTCAGCTCTGACCGTCCTCCAGGTGCAGCTTCAGGACCAGATGAGCGGGGCCGAGGGCCACATCAGAACCTGCAGGAGAACACGCACGCACGCACACACATTACCAAACATGACCAAACATCAGGTGTCTATGACTTGTGTTTGTGTTGCCATGGTATATGACAGGTATCGACATATCACCATAAAGGTTACACTTCTGGTTTCATGATAACCCTGCTGTTAATACAAGCTAATTGGTGAAGTGGAGCTAGCTCTCCCGGGTTTATCTCCCGGTAAGTAACGTTACATTAAGCCTTTTATCCGGTAAACTCGGTAATCAGCTGATAGTTAACGTTAAACTCCGGGTAAAGAGGTGACAACCGCTGGGAGAACTCAAACATTAAACGTTGTTAGCTGCTAATTCATGCTGTTAAATATCCGTTAAACTAACGTTGGAGCTAATGCCCGTTAGTTCCGGTGACTGCTGCCCATAAAGAGAGCGCAGGACCGGCCTAGCAACCACAAACACACCGGTAACCTCCGCTACAAGCCTGTTAGCATCACCTGGCTAACGCTAGTAACCAGGGCGTGAACTGCAGCAACATGTCGCCTTATGGAGATAAAAGCATATTAGACACACAAAGACATACGTTACGAACACACCGGTCCTACACAGACACACACACACACACAGAAACAGCGTGAGACATTTACCGAGACCGACCGGACACAAACTCCAGGTCAGCCGTTAGCCGCTGCTGCTCATCCCCACCAGCGTCCGGCTCACCGGGTTGCCAGATTCACGATCAACATCCCCCGAAACAGCTGCCGATGAAACAGCACTAACTCAGAAACACAGGAGGAATCAATGTGCTAAAATACAGTCCAGCATTGTATTCACCAGCAGTACTGTATTTTCAGACACAGAAGTCCAAACGGCCAAACACATTAGGGAATAAAATAAGTTCCCAGTGTTTACAACGACTGAAACAGGAACACCTTCAGTCCCTTTATGTGGCTTCATCTGTGCCATTATGATCTGGTTCTAAATAAATGACCTGACAAATGAATTTGCAATTAAGTACATTCAAAAATAAGATTCTAAATGAATCATTAAATACCACATGAAAGTTTTACATGGTTTAATGTAAAGTAATTTAAACACTGGTGATTTTAACTTTCCAAGTCACAGTAATATGAAGAGAAGGCTTTTATAGGTTGTACCATAGTATCGTATTGTATGGTGACATATGGAACTGGTCATGTTGTGTCGTATTTAGAGTTGTCAACATGTTTGTGCAACATAGACAGCATGCAGGAGATTAACTGCAGTTTTTAGTGATTGAAAGCAAGAAATTCACCAACATTTGGTGTCCAGGAGTTTAAAATTCTGGTGTTGGAACGACCCAAATCTTTCTCTCTCTCTCTCTCTCTCTATATATATAATATACATATTTCCTGAAGACAAAAATATCATTATACATCTGCTGCTTTGATATTTACAATGCTGGATATTTAAAATATATTTATTCAACTGACTAAGAGGCCCTGAATCTATAGATGTAATATAGGAAGTATTTTTGCATATCTGGCAACCCAAGTGTCCACAAGCTCTTCCACAGTAGCTTAGTGAATCAGCTGATTCCACTGTGCTCACAGATAAGCTCCCACAGAGGGAGGTCAACACCCCGAGGCTGCTGCTGGCTCTTTACGAATCACTGAGTCTCTTTATTGGTGACAAACATCATAGAAAACGACACAAACACTGCGTTCACATACTCGCTTACATCCAGTCGACCAGTGCAAATATCCTCCCATGTGTGACGGAAACATCCATGAAACATCGGATGACTTACACACAGGACAAGCTCAACTAATTTCAACCGGTTTGGTCCCTGTAGAATCAGCGTCTCCTTCTTTCCTCCCTATAATTAGTCCTGCAGGAGGATCAGTTACTGAGCGCTCGGAGGAATGGAGGGCAGGGAGGACGGAGAGACGTGGAGGGGAGGAGAACATGATCAGGGGTTTTCAGGGTTCACTGAGGGCACCACAGGTCCCAGTAACATGGTCGTAGATACAGAGTACAGCAGCAGATTAAGAAATATCAGATATTTTTCTGGTTGTAGTGAACAAAGGAGATGGAAGAGGAAACATCAGAATTCTTAAGCAGAAAGATAAAAATCATGTTTCTAGGCAGCAGCAGAGTCCATATCAACTTTTCAAGTATATTTCACTAAAGACCTACTCCATCCAGTCACATAGGCCCTCTGAGCTTTCTGAAGGACTAAAGTCAGTCTGAAAAAAGGCAGTCCTTCACAAAGTAAACATCTGTGACCATCCTGCAGAGTGAGCGCCCAGAGGATGACCTTTCCACCCCATGCTCAGAGCTCATCGTTAGGGTTCACTCTTCCAGGCTTGTCCATGCCAAAGAAGGAGGATGGGAGGCTGCGCACGTCGCGCTCTCTCTTCACGAAGGCAGAAAACGAGGAGACGCAGTTTCCGATGAAGTGATCCGCTCGACCTAAGATGTACAGATCCATCTGAGCCGAGTCGGGCTGCAGAGACACCACCTTCACCTGAAGAGCAGAAAAGAAACAACAAATCAAACAGCAGGTTGAGTACAGGTGACTGAACCTGTTCTCCAAACTGTGCTGCAGTCATCCAAGTTTGTAATTCACCTTTGAATATCTTTGGGGTCTATAAAATGACTGATGAGCATAAACAGTTTTACAATTGCTCCTGTAGATTGCCTCCCCCAGTCACCATAAACAGGCTGTAACGTTTGCAACATGTTTGTCTCTGTGACAGAGTTGTGAGGTGAAGTCTCTCCCTGCTGGCATTGCCTGGTAACTGTTATGAATATGTAGAATAATAAGACCTACCTCTGTAAGATTGTGAACATGAACCTGATAAACGCTGAAGGGCTTCTGCTCAGAAGCCTGTTTACCTGCTGCAGGCGTTACAGCCTGTTTACCTGCTGCAGACGTTACAGTCTGTTTACCTGCTGCAGACGTTAGTCTGTTTACCTGCAGACGTTACAGTCTGTTAACCTGCTGCAGACGTTAGTCTGTTTACCTGCAGACGTTACAGCCTGTTTACCTGCTGCAAACGTTAGTCTGTTTACCTGCTGCAGGTGTTACAGCCTGTTTACCTGCTGCAGACGTTAGTCTGTTTACCTGCAGACGTTACAGCCTGTTTACCTGCTGCAGACGTTACAGTCTGTTTACCTGCTGCAGACGTTACAGCCTGTTTACCTGCTGCAGACGTTACAGTCTGTTTACCTGCTGCAGACGTTACAGCCTGTTTACCCGCTGCAGACGTTACAGTCTGTTTACATGCTGCAGACGTTACAGTCTGTTTACCTGCTGCAGACGTTACAGTCTGTTTACATGCTGCAGACGTTACAGTCTGTTTACCCGCTGCAGACGTTACAGTCTGTTTACATGCTGCAGACGTTACAGTCTGTTTACCCGCTGCAGACGTTACAGTCTGTTTACATGCTGCAGACGTTACAGTCTGTTTACATGCTGCAGACGTTACAGTCTGTTTACATGCTGCAGACGTTACAGTCTGTTTACCCGCTGCAGACGTTACAGCCTGTTTACCTGCTGCAGGCGTTACAGCCTGTTTATAAACCCACCTTGCCCTTGAAGAGCTTCTCGATGTCCCTACTGTGGGACTCAGAGTCGGTGGCGATGTAGACGGAGCGGGCCGAGGTCTTCTTCACCCACAGCTTTATAGCTCTGCGGATCTCTGCGAGGTCAGGGAGGCACATGTTCATGGTGAGGGGCAGAGCGGTCTGTCTGTTGTAGCCAACACACTGAGGAGACGCCATGAAGTGAGGACCCGTGTCACCGCTTTTCAACATCTTACAGGCGTTTTGCTGCAAGACGGAAACGAGAAGCAAAGTAGAGTGAGGCGATGATGACGATCATTTTTCACAATAACATCATCGTTTAGGGAAAATAAATCCATTCAGACTTCTCACCCAGTCACTGCCGATCCTCAGGTGGATGCTCACATACGGTCTGATCAGCAGGTTAGAGATATGCTCCTCCCCCTCCGCCACCATCTTATCCGACCACACCACATGACGCTGCAGACCCACGTGTTCCTCCGTCACAGGGAACTGAGCCGGAGCTCCGGGCATGGCCAGGACAGGGTGCTCAGAGGGAGGGAACCTGTTCAACAGAGGAGGGGGGCAGGACAAGAGGCTGAGTGTTAGAAGGGGGGGGGGGGGGACTGCCAGGGGAGACTTTAACTACGACATGATTCTAGTAAACGCTGCAGGGCTGCCAGGGGAGACTTTAACTACAACATGATTCTAGTAAACGCTGCAGGGCTGCCAGAGGAGACTTCGACAGCGACATGATTCTAGTAAACGCTGCAGGGCTGAGAGTCGTCTCAGCTGCAGGGCTGAGAGTCGTCTTTAATTATGACATGAGTCTAGTAAACGCTGCAGGGCTGCCAGGGGAGACTTCAACTACGACATGATTCTAGTAAACGCTGCAGGGCTGCCAGGAGAGACTTTAACTACAAAATGATTCTAATAAACGCTGCAGGGCTGCCAGGGGAGACTTTAACTACCAAATGATTCTAATAAACGCTGCAGGGCTGCCAGGGGAGACTTTAATTATGACATGAGTCTAGTAAACGCTGCAGGGCTGCCAGGGGAGACTTCAACTACGACATGATTCTAGTAAACGCTGCAGGGCTGCCAGGAGAGACTTCAACTACAAAATGATTCTAATAAACGCTGCAGGGCTGCCAGGGGAGACTTCAACTACGACATGATTCTAGTAAACGCTGCAGGGCTGCCAGGAGAGACTTTAACTACGACATGATTCTAGTAAACGCTGCAGGGCTGCCAGGGGAGACTTTAACTACGACATGATTCTAGTAAACGCTGCAGGGCTGCCAGAGGAGACTTCGACAGCGACATGATTCTAGTAAACGCTGCAGGGCTGAGAGTCGTCTCAGCTGCAGGGCTGAGAGTCGTCTTTAATTATGACATGAGTCTAGTAAACGCTGCAGGGCTGCCAGGGGAGACTTCAACTACGACATGATTCTAGTAAACGCTGCAGGGCTGCCAGGAGAGACTTTAACTACAAAATGATTCTAATAAACGCTGCAGGGCTGCCAGGGGAGACTTCAACTACGACATGATTCTAGTAAACGCTGCAGGGCTGCCAGGAGAGACTTTAACTACAAAATGATTCTAATAAACGCTGCAGGGCTGCCAGGGGAGACTTTAACTACAAAATGATTCTAATAAACGCTGCAGGGCTGCCAGGAGAGACTTTAACTACAAAATGATTCTAATAAACGCTGCAGGGCTGCCAGGGGAGACTTTAACTACCAAATGATTCTAATAAACGCTGCAGGGCTGCCAGGGGAGACTTTAACTACAAAATGATTCTAGTAAACGCTGCAGGGCTGACGACATTACTACTCACTTCTTCATCCATTGAGGCTGTTGATATGCACTGAAAGAAATCCCTCCAAACAAAACAGACTTGTCAAAATCCACACCCACGTAGTCCCAGAACGGTCCAAACGGGTTCCCATCCTGAGAATCAATCAGAACCATGGGTCCAGTCAGAGCAGTCAAACAGTAACAGCAGCATGTTGGTGCTCTGCGAAATGGCGCAGGGGGCAGCATTTCACCATCATCCCACTTCACTCACATTCAGCGTCCTAAAAGACTGACCTTTGATTGTAAGTCAGATACTCATGTGCTGTGTGCGGTCACCTTCATTGGGCAGGACTTCTTGTCCGCACTCCGCTGAGCTGCAGTCTC